CACACACACACACACACACACACACACACACACACACACACACACACTACGCGTTAACATGGAGAAATAAATGGGTGATTCAGTTGGACTCAGCACAGGAGCAGAGCAGCTAAAACCCATTTTGTACTTTTCCCACAATTAAACATTTTCTAGTGAAAAATGATTTATATGTAATTTTTTAATAAGGCCTACATTATTCACTGTATTATAAATAATACAATAAATGATGTCTTTGAGCTAAATAGTCAAACAACATGATAAAAGCAGGTGCTTTGGTGATGAAATTAAACTTAGCAAATAGTTGTATTTATAGTTGCATATAAGGATGATAGCACCACAGGACTGTAAATTAAATGATAAATAAATGTATCCATATGTAATGAAAAGTATGAACCTCTATATAAAATTCAACATTTTTCAGTCAGGTCATCTGGACAGTTTATTTTTTTGTGCTGAAACGTTTCGCCTTTGATCCAGAAGGCTTCATCAGTTAAGGAAACACAACAAAACTGATTCTTCCCTCAACAGCTTACTCCAAAGTGGAACAAACCTGTTCTGCTTGTGATAAGATGGTCTCTTTGGTACGCCCCTCCTCCATTGCTGGCCCTCTTCCTTGTTGACAGTCGTGTCAAACTGGTTGAAAACAACAAAGTCCATGCTCAATAATGTTGCTTTCAACTGGTTTGTTCCACTTTGGAGTAAGCTGTTGGGGGAAGAATCAGTTTTGTTGTGTGTTTCCTCGACTGATGAAGCCTTCTGGATCGAAAGTGAAACGTTTCAGCACACACAAAAAAAGAAACTGTCCAGATGACCTGACTGAAAAATGTTGGATTGTATACATGGATTATTGAGCATGGACTTTGTTCTATATAAAATTATTTAAATTTAAACAAAAAATATTTAGTTTTCATGTTATTCATCCAGTTTTGTTTTAGAGCGATGATTAAAACCACTGGTCTTATGAAAAGTAAGAACATATTAAACATTTTTACAAGTCACCTCAGACATTTGTGTCTGCTCTTCATGGCCATTCAGAGGAGACTGAACCTGTTGTTTCATGTTGGGTTGATAATAAAAAGTCCAACGCTGTCGCCCAGTGTTCATAAACAGACATTACAGCTCAGAACAGATGAATCTCATCATCGTCTCCTCTCTCATCAGCATCATTCTGCTTATCATGTCATCGTGCTACCTGGCATTTCGGGTGTGCAGTCTGGAGCAGCAGCTGTCGTTCCTCAGTAACCCCAACCTGCCCCTGAGAGAGAGGTAACACACTTCTGTTTTTGTTGTTGTTGTTGTTGTTTTGCTCTAGATGGGAAACAACATCTATCTAACAAAGATGAAGCAAATATGGTGATTAAGTTGGAATAAGTCGACAGGCATTAGACTGTTTTATGCATATTTACATTTAAACCATATTAAATGTATTGCTATAACATGTTTTTGTGAACCACATAACTGTTTTTGTCACCCCATGACGGCATTCTTAAGACAGATAGAAACACACACTAAAAAGTAAGCCTCAAACAAACAGTTTCTGCATGAAAACTACCCATCATTCCTGTTCAGGTCACAGTGGTCACTGTTGTCCGTATCCAGCTATCACTGTGTGAGAGGCGGGGGACACCCTGGACAGGTCTCCAGTCCATCACAGAGATACATAAAGACAAATGAGACAAACAACCATTCACTCTCTCACTCACACCTAGAGACAATTTAGAGTTACCAATCAGCCTAACATGCATGTTTTTGGTCTGTGGGAGGAAACCGGAGTACCTGGAGAAAACCCACGCATGCACGGAGAGAACATGCGAACTCCACCTAGAAAGGTCCTCAGACTGGGATTTGAACCGGTGACCTTTTCTGAGGAACAGCTTCTTCCCTGAAGCTGTAATACTCATAAATCCCTAACCAGGAAAATCACTGTAATGACACTTTATCTGTGCTGCTGATTATCCATGCTGCTGATTTCTTACCTTAAGCTGCTGTATTCATACCCATCTGCTCACAACAGACTCATGTTCAGGCTGCTGTTTAATACACGGTATTACATTGCATTATTGTTGTTTAACGTATATCTTAGACCCTTGTATGCTGTTTCTTTCTTATATTTTTGTTATTTTTGGGTATAACTGGGAACTTGAGTACACAATTTCATTCCACCTTATGTACCACTTGTGATGCAAATGACAATAAAGAACGTTGAATCTTCTCGCTGAGAAGCTCTACCAAATGAGCCATCATAAACTATAGAAAACTATAGATTGTTTTTATTTTTTTTTTAATTCTTGAACTGTAAGCAACCAGTGGCCACATGTGAGTTTTTATGTTTTTATGTTGGGATATGACCAGTTAAAACGATCCTTCACTTCCTGTTTTAAAAATAAAAATTTGAGCTGAACTATATCTGAAGTTTATGGAAGTATGTGTGTGCACTCTGAGGGGATCTGAGAACCCCAACTTTGTTCAGTAGCAGGGAAAGAAAACAAACGCGCCTACATTTTCATGAATAATTTGTTTACTAAAATGATTTTGCAGTAAGAAGTGTTTACAAAGTTTAGAAAAGTTCAGTGAGCTCAAACGTTAGTGTAACATCATTAATGGTCAATTGAACATTCTGTGGAAAAATCTTAAAACTTAAACTGCAGTTTTGTTTTAAATAAAAGCATTAAAGACTTCAAAATGTCAGTTCAGACATGTAAAACTGAACGTTCGGTAAGTTTTTAAACTTTAAATAATGTTTCTGCTGTGAAGTCTGAGTAATAGAGCTCTGAACACGGCAGGTTTTTTAAGACTCTATTGTTGTTCATGAGGAAATGTATCATTTTTTGTGAATTTGTCCACATCGTATGATGTACCCAAATGTTTAAAGTGTACCATATTTTTTTTTGACTATAAGGCGCATTTTAAATCCTTAAATTTTCTCAAAAATTGACAGTGAGCCTTATGTGTTAATTCTGGTTGTGTTTACTGACCTTGAATTGATTTTATGTGTTACAACTGAACAATGTTGAGTTATTATGGATGAGTTGAATAAAGTTGGACTTATCTGACTGTTTTGTTTCACTTATTGCGCCTTATAATCCGAAAAATACGGTCATTTTCTTTTTCTTTTCTTCATGAAAACAGACAAAAAACGTGAAGATTGGAGAACCTGTAAATCCATCTTTTTGGTTTTGTGAATAACCCGGCTGCTCCGTCCTGCAGATAACCAGTGCTCTCTGGTGAAGCAGACCGTCAGTCCTGGTTGTGTCTCCTCGTGCTCGGAGCTGATGATGATGGCCTGTGCAGATTTAGGACCAGCTCATGGAGCCACATGAGCAGCAATAAAAAGGAGCTTCATCATCACGACACCAGGCAGCCAACAAACCGTCGCGCACAGGAGCGACTTCCTAACAGCGATCTCTCGCAGACGAGAGGCTGAACATTCTGTCTGAAAGGAACGTAGATTTAGATCCAGCTGGACTGCAGTTCCTCTCACAGACATGTCACCTTCAACCGCACCATACTTCATACTTCAGTGTAGAAAGTACTTTAAAAAGACAGTTGAATCTGCTGCTTGAGGCTCTGACGGATGTCGGACGGTGTTTGAGGACGGAGCGATGAATGAGATACTTGAAAACGACTGATTGTAAAGAAATTTCTGGAACGTTTCGGGGATTTTTTTGGGGCATTGGTGTTACAAGTTTTGACTGAATAGTTTTATTTTCAGTAGAAAGCACCGAACTATGACTATGCAATTTAAAAATCAAGTCCAGTAGTTTCAACCATAGCAACTTTAATGGTTTATTAATGGTACTCTGTTATCATTGTAAAGGTATTTATAGAAGAAGAACACCTAATCATGGTCTTACAGTACTTAGATGGAAAAAAAAAAAAAAAGAAATGTTTTTATATTTTATTGCATCAATAATTTTTGTTTTTAGTTATTTTTTTTTACATTTCAAAGAAGATTGGGAGCTTCTGACTGGATGCTGTTGTCCTAAGATGTTTTATTGATTCATTAAATCAAATTGGTAGCAAAGTTGAGGTAACAGTTTGTAGCTTCTGTTTTAGTTTTATAACAACCATGGAATTTAATTTAATTTAATTCTCGCAGTAAGTCACTAACTTGCAGTTAAATGTCCAAACTCGGCCCTCGGTGATGATAAATTATGTCTGTAAGGGCTGATGTCACTTTTCTTCACGGTTACTCAGTTCTCAGTTTAAAAGCGTCACTATAAAAAAAACTGTAATTTTCTAAAATATTAACACTCAATAAACACAGATAATTATTTTAAAACGTTTTTCCTATTTTGTTTTTAATCCTTGAACTTTTTATTTTAAAAGAGATGATTTTCAGCAACATTTTATAACTTCTAACTTACGAATCTTGTTCTGAACCGTGTTTCATTTGAAACATGAAAGTGTCACTACTGTAGCTCAAAGAAACAGAAATAAAAGCATGCACACACTTTATGAATGTTTATTGGCCGTTTTGTCTGAAGACTTCAATCTGAACATGGATTAAAGTTCTTTCATTAGCTTTTGTTTAGTTTTCAGCTAACACACATTTCCTGACCCTCACCTGATGTTTACTACTGGTTGAGTCGTAGCTCCCAGTTTGTGCATCATGTCAGACGTGTTTGCACTCTCATGCTCTTTAAACTTCTGTGTATGCACAAGAAACTTACATGTCAACTGAGCTTTAAAGCCTTGTGCCATGCAATACTAAAATAAGGATTAAAAAAAAGAATCATGGTTGAAATGAGGTCAAAGTAGTCTTGTATATTAGTACTCTTCTAAATCAAAGAAGTACATTTTATGACTATGTGCCAATAAAACTGAATGTTCCTGATTGTTTCCTTAAGGTTTTAGAATTTTTTTAAAAACTTTTTTCAACTTCTGAAGGGACTGGAGTCACTGGACTGAACTGTTTCACTACGAGCTGCACTGACATCTAGTGAGTGTCGTGGTGCGACGCACTACTGTCAGGTTTGTGTAGAAATAAATACTTGTTAATATAGATTATTTTATGATTTTTAATTTATTTATTAGCAAAAAAGCATTTTTGTCTTATATTAATAAATCAAACCTTTTTTAAACATTTAGTTTTTATATATTTTTTAAATATTAGCAAAAAAGTTTTTGTCTCATTAATAAATCAAATAAACATTTTTTATTAAACATTTAGATTATTTTATAATTTGATATATTTATTAGCAAAAAAGTATTTTGGTCTCATATTAATAAATCAAATGAACATTTTTAAATTAAACATTTAGACTTTTTTTATATGTATTTATTAGTAAAAAAAAAAGCCTTTTTGTCTCATGTTAATAAATCAAATAAACATTTTTATTAAATATTTAGATTATATTTTTATAAGCAAAAATGTTATTATCTCATTAATAAATAAAATAAACATAAATGAGCAAAAATAATTTTATATCATAATAAATCAAGTAAACATTTTTAATTAAACATTTAGATTTTTTTTATTATATTTATTAGCAAAAAGCCTTTTGTCTCATTAATAAAGCAAATAAACATTTTTAATTTAACATTTAGATTTTTTTTATATATTTTAGCATAAAAGTATTTTTGTCTCATATTAATAAATCAAATAAACTTTTTTAATTAAACATTTAGATTATTTTATCATTTTTAATATATTAGCAAAAAGCATTTTTGTCTCATGTTAATAAATCAAATAAACTTTTTTAAAATTAAACATTTAGATTGTTATAATTTTTATATATATTTATTTAAAATAAAATCGTTTTTTGTCTCGTATTAATCTATTCTTTAGTTATAACTCAGGACCTCCTGGCCCAATAAGATGATTTTACATCCTTGAAGGACTTTTAAGTGAAATTAAACACAACATAGCTTTTAAATTAAGTTTAAAATCCAACATGCAAGAATTTATCAACATTTTCTGCATTTTGATGGTATTTTCTGTACTAAATTAATTAAATACAATTAAAATTCAAATAGGATGCTCACAAAATGTTTAAATATTTGTTACAGCTACAGACGTCGCAAAATTAGGAGTCTAAAAAATTGCTAACATTTTACTGGTGTCCCCACTTAACCTGGAGTTTCTGACAATATTTGTCATTACGTACCATTTGTAATGTCAGTCAGTGCGTGCAGCATTTAGTCGGGTTCATCAGTCTCAGCTGGACATACAAAGTGGCTGCAGCCTCGCCCATTCCTGCAGGGAGCCGTGTTGTCTGTCTGAATGCTCCTGGAGCGACCTTTGACCCCTCCAGTGTGAGCGAGAAT